GCCCCGCACTAAGGGCCATTATTGGGTCCCGTAACGGTGCAATTCCCATTGCCCTACCCGGGTAATCCTCTCAAGTTTCGTAACCCCAGTGAATTTTTCCCACAACGGCATCTTCCCCCCCCCCCCCCTTCTTTGAACAAAATTACTCACAGAAAATTTTAGCTACTCCTGGAATTATTTTTAAGCAACTTGCTCATACAAAATTTGTCATTCAGTAAAACTAATACAAACGTCCCTCCTAAAATCGATATTGTAAACGTAGTCTAATGACACCAACATTTACAAGTCTTTAAAGCTCTCCTACGCGCTCATCTCTGTTACCAAATGTAAATATTTATTGTTCTGTTGGATGTTCTAAATGGTTCTTCTAACCTTATTTGCTGTTTATTGTATCTTAACTTTTTTTTGCGTTCATATTTGGAAAGATTTTTGGGAGCAGTATTTACAAGCCGGAAGCTTTTCCTGTTTCCCTGCTTTGATTTAAGCTAAATAAAATGAAATTGAAATTGAACATTTATTCTGTAATTTTTGTTTCGTTTAAGGTACTCAATCATCCGCTAATCATGAAAAATCTTCGTTATTTCCCTCTCTGAAATATTTATATTTATCGAACAACTTACTCTCAACCTGGACATCGATCAATGAACTAAATAAACTACCTCAACTAATCTCTCTTAGTGTATTACGAAATCCGATTTATGACTCCAATCTCAACGGTATCACTATTGAGTCATCAAAACAGTACATCATTGCACGTTTAGACACACTGAAATATCTAAATCGAGCCATAATACCGTCGGATGAACGTCGAGGAGCAGAAATTGATTATATGAAAAAATATTCCACTGATTATTTTCAAAATAATGAACAATTCCATATTGAACATCCACGTTACCAAAAATTAATTCAAAAATATGGTGCACCAGATCCACCAATGTCATCTAAACACCAATCATTGGCAGATAAACCAGGTCTTTGCATCAAATCACAATTATTGACATTAACATTTCTCTATGAGAATGATCAAAAAGAGAGAAAAGTACCGGGAGCAATGACAATAGCAAAACTAAAAGCATTTATTAAACGTTTATATCCTCAATTGAATGGTGGAGAAACGAATTTAAGATTAAAAGCATGTACAAAAGAGACAGATTTAAAACATCAAGAAATATTAGAACATGATTATAGAGAATTGACATTTTATGCTTTGGATAATGGACACACGATTCTTATCGAAAAAATTTAATTTATTTTTGTTTTTATAATGCATACTATTAATTTTCTTTTTCTATGCTTTTATAATAAAAAATTGCGTTAAACACATCAGGATCTTTTTGTTAATTATTATCTCCATTAGAAGGTAGGAACGTTATGATCAACATGTATCTTTTTTGTTTTATACGACATATTGCTATCACTAGACATCAAAAGATTTGTGCTAGAAGCTATTAAAATAATTGAAAGCAAGTATTTTCAATAATATTTTTACGTTATTTACTACGTGCGAGTACTAAACTTTACAATAATATTAGCACTCCAACTGTCTAATCGCTTTCTGGTCGAAGCCTAGTGGGTTATAGGTTATCGATCGTGCTGAATCCGACTGTAGATATGACATGGGTTCTTAGGCTTTCAAAGATCGGTTTTCTGCAAAACCAGTTTTCCAGAAACTCCAGAAAATCTCCGAAACCTTTCTTAATAAGTCATGTTTGTAGCCCGCGAAATTTTGATCAAAATGAGAAGTTCCCCAGCTCTGCATGACCTTTCTTTGCAAAGTTAGAGACTTTACAAGAAAAGCTCTAAATTCATTTTTCTTTTTTCTTTCTACATCTCTGAGCTGACAATGAATATTTAGGGCGTTTCTTGTAAATTCTCTGACTTTGCAAAGAAAAGTCGTACAGAGCTGGGGAACTTCTTATTTTGGTCAAAATTTCGCAGGCTACAAACATCACTTATTAAGAAAACTTTCGGAGATTTTCCAGAGTTTCTGGAAAACTGGTTTTCCTGAAAACCGGTCTTTGAAAGCATAAGAGCCTATCTCATTTTGATATTCAGATTCAGCACGGTCGATAATCTATAACTTACTAGGTTTTGACCAGAAAGCGATTAGACAGTTGGGAAAGATCCCTCGTTAGAACTAGATTCATTTATTTATGAGTTAAAGGAACATAACAGGAATTTTGATTTTGACATTTTTCAGCATAATATAAGTTGCAACTACCCAGATCTTGATATTCTTGTCTATATTACATATTACGCTGCTTTATTTATTTGTTCATTTTTCTGATGATTTCTAAGACGAAAATTGATAGAAGAAATATTTGATTTTCTGCCCCTTCTGTTGGTCATTTTACAATATTATTTATCGAAATCTCTAATTATCATAATTCGACATTGCAAAATGTCTATCATAATTGTTCTCACGTATTTCTGTGAAAAATCAGTATACTTTTTCAATAATCCGACCGTACCTAAGCTTGATTTTTCCTTTCTAAACCCTCCTATATGAAAATAGTACCAAATACTCAGTAAGTAGTCTAAATTTGCTATTTAAATTATTTTTCTCATTACATAACACACAAAGCCTTTTATTCTACCATCTGCATGTTTTCCCATCGTACATTTTCTTTTTTCAATAATAGTACAGTAAAATGATTAATAATTTCGTTTTTTAGCTTTGTACTGGGCAATCTAATTTGAAAAAATGAATATATATCCTATAAAATAAATGAAAAATAATTTCAGATATTGAATTCGATCGAACGTTCAGAGATGAAATGATTTGTTGCTGCCATCCCCCGTATGTTGGAGATTGCTTATACAAGAATATTAAGAAGTCCTTTTCTAACTATGAAAGAAGACAGAATATTTTTAAAGTAGTAGGATAATAGAAAAAATGTTACATTCTGTTCATTGTTCGGAAAGACACATGCAGAGTTTCAGCACATGGAGTGTTCTTTATTCTCTTGAAGTTTTTTTTCTCTCTATTCTAGATCTAATTTTGTTCTTTCTCGCTTATTTTCGCACAAAAAAGTTAAAATAATAATAATAGAGAAATATACATTTTTTTCTTTTTTTATGAAAGTTTTGGATATGGCGTGGAAACGATAGAAAAAGAAAAGAAAAAATGTATGTTTGTTGAAGAGGGAAAAAAAGAAAAAGGCAAGTAGAAATTGAACGGATGACATGAACAAATGATAAAAAACAACAACATACAAGCATGTTGTACCGTAAAAACTTATTCATCTTCTATTTTAGATATAGTGGCCTTTTCAAATTAAAAAGGATAACCATGGCCCTATTCAAAATATTCTTATGCTTATATCTGTTTACAAATGTGGAATTACGAAGAATATACGATAGTGAAGAAGATTTGAGTAGCGAAGGATTGAATGGTGATGATAATCGATTTTTCAATGATCTTATATCTCGAGTATGTTGTTCATTATTGAGATATAGGGATAAAAATTTGACCTTAGCCATTTCAAGTCTCATTAGGCTTTATAACTGTAGTTTAACTTCGAGAATGGACATTGCTCTTTCAAGTTAAGTTCAAATCAAGGGTAAAAGTGAATAGACGGCATAGTCAATGCATGTATATTAGATAGGATCTGGCTTCGTAACGGTCCTTTCGGAAAAAAGAGGAACGTTAACATTTTTTAAGAGGAGCGTTGGGTAAAAAAGAGGAAAAGAGGAGGCAGTTTTTGGCCCAAAAACGGTACTGATAATGTTGTGCACACGTCAAAGTGGCTTAAGGCTGTTAAAGAAAAGACCTCGTTCTACTTAGAGTATTTTTTTTCATGTTTTACGAGTAAAAAACTAAGAAAAACATAGTAAAAAGGAGTTATTCTAATTTAAACGGTGAATGTAGTGAATTTTGCGATCAAGCTGTAGCTGTATGAGACGAAGATGTTGGAGAAACGAATGTGGTATTTTCTTTCAACTCTTTGATCTTTACACGATGTTTATCTTTCTTTACTATCGACTGCCTCCTTTGTTCCCCTCAATCTAATTTGCCCGTTTTACACAATGTACATACAAATGTTGATTCCTTGGCACATTGCTTTAACCGTCGTCTCACAGGGGCTTCATCTACGGTTTTCTGTAGCCACGAGTGATCGAATTTTGTTTCATATGACGACATTGATAAAAAAAATTATCTGAAACTACTTTCAGATCTAAAACTAGCATGAATTCTGATATTTTTGCTAAGAAATCCCAGAAAAAGAGGAAAATTAGCTCAAAAAGAGGAGAAAGAGGAGTGGTCTTGGGTTAAATAGGCCGAGAGAGGAAAAGAGGAGCATTACGAACCCAGGATAGGATGTTAGACACTTTCGACATACATTTTCTTGTCTAGTTTCTTGGTATTTCTTCTAGCCATCCTATCGTGTGATACCAAATGATCCAATAGCATTAAATCAAATTCAACTTGGTCAAGTATCCGGTTTAGCGGCATGTGTTAAAAATCCAAAACGATTGATTGTGTTTCAGCGTGGTTCTAGAGAATGGACATCAGAGTATGTTTAATATTAAGATCGTTTGTATTAACAAAAATAACTATTATACACACTCAAAAATACTATGTAGTTAACAATTGTTAATATTATGTTTAGATCATTTCCTGATGGTAAAAATTTTGCCAAAGATAAATTTGGTGTTATTAAAGAGAATACAGTATTAACAATCAACACTAAAAATGGTGAAATTGTTGATACGTGGGGAAATAATACGTATGTATTGATGACATTAACTCCATTATGTTAATTTCTTTTTTTATAGTTTTTATCCAACTTTAAGATGTGTTGAAAGATTTAAGAATTGTACTAGACTTAGAAGTCTATACTGCATCTGAATAGTATCTAGTCAATTATCAATTTTATATTACATTGCACTTTATACGTGCCAAGGAGTAGTGTTGAGTAAGGTGCTTCTTACTCATTTCACGCTTTAAATCACTCTTACATACCATTCTGCAGAAAATGGTTGTATTCACAGTTTTGCATATTTCAGATCTCTGTAAAATACACCGTACAATTCTATTTGTACTAAAAAAAAGAAAATTCTCAAAATTTTCAGTGTTATGCCTGTTGCTTTGCATAGAAAATTAATAAATAACTGGATACTATTCAGAATGAGTATACACTTCTGATTGTAACACAACATTTCTCTATCTGTTAAAAAACGTCTTAAAATTTGAGAAAGAACAAAATATTTTGAGTAAAACCTTTATGCTAAGTGTGACTTCTAGGATTTAATAAAGAGGAGTCCAGTTCTGATTACTTGAAGAATGCTGTGAGTAGAAGTTACCTGTTTTTCTTTGTAGGTTTTCAATGCCACACGGTTTATCAGTTGACAATGATGGTAATTTATGGTTGACCGATGTTGCCATGCATCAGGTAACGTGTCTTATCTTACTTTATTTCATATTTATGCTGTAAACTTGTTTTTTTTCTCTCGAAGGTATTTAAATATGACACAAGTCAACCCCGTCAATTAGTTTTAACACTTGGTGAAGCATTTGTACCCGGTTCAGATCAATCACATTTTTGTAAACCGACCGATGTTGCTGTTAGTCGTGACGGACAATTTATTTACGTTGCTGATGGTTATTGTAACGAACGAATTGTTAAATTTGATTCAAATGGAAAATATTTAACAGAATATAAAATGCCCGCTAATCAACGTACGTTTCATTTTTATTCTTCAATGAAATAAAAGAACCACTTATTGTTTTTTGTATTTTAATAGGACAATTAGTCATTCCACATAGTTTAGCATTAATTGAATCATTAGACATAATTTGTGTGGCCGACAGAGAAAATGGAAGGTACGTAGTGATCATAAACAAACCGAAATGTTTTTGGCATATCTATCGTGTAGTAATTCGTCTTTATCCGAATCTTCTGAATTGATAAAAGATTTTACACATTACTATGAAACATTTTCTTTTTTATCACATCAATTTAGTCTTCGTTTTCGTTTGTTTTCTAGGATTGTTTGTTTCAATGCTGGTTTAGAATCTCAGTCGCATGAAGGTCAAGTACAATCAATAATTAGACATAAAACAATTCAAACAGTTTATGCTATTGCTTATGATCAAAATAACGGTATGTATATATTAAAGGAAAACATAGTGGTATCTGTCTTGCTGCTTAGAATGCTACACATACTTGAGATGTGTTTCGGTGAGAAAATAAATACTTCTCAAAAGCAGTAGGCTTCAAAGTTGAACATAATCATATTGTCGAGTTTCTGCCGCATTTTTCTCATTTGTCCTTTCAAAAGATCTTCTCATGATGTGCGCAGTTGTCGAAGAAAGCTTTTCATATTAAGTAGACAAGATGTCATGATGAACGACATAAACATCATGTCGTTCATGTCTGGTAGACTCTATTTACTGGTCAAATGGATATATTATTGATGCAAAAATGAAACTTATCTTATATTGATTGTTTTTAGAACGTCTATATGCTGTGAGTGGTGGCAACAAAGCACTTGGTTATACTTTCAGTGTTGATCCAGAATCGTTCGGTTCATTATTAACAACATGGAAACCATCAGAAGTAGGAAATGCATTTTCTCTTTATTTCATTTTAATGTGCATAATTTTCTCTCTTTCTCTTTCCTTTTTGTAGAATTTTGGTGAACCTCACGATGTAGCTGTGAGTATCAACAGTCTTCAAGTATTTGTTGGTGAAATTCGACCTAATCGCATTGATACATTCGATGTGATTAATTAAACAATTCAAAAATCAAAAATCAAAGTCACTATTTTTGAATGATTATTTTTCAAAAGTTATTGAGTTTTTTCTCAGAAAATAATAACGAATGAAATTGAATGTATTTATTTTTATTTAAAAAATATTCTTTTAAAAACACAGTGTGAATAAAATGAGAAAGTTTCATGACAGACAAAAGTAGTTCTAAGAGAATATAATATATTTTTATATGTGGATAAATGCAGACTACAAGCTTCATGGGAATTTATTTCAAATTATAAAGTTTCACCTAAAGTTTAAGTCATAATTCTCTCAAAAGAGCGTCAGTTTCACTGCTACTCGGATGGATCACATGTCGTTGCTATTTAAATAGACGACTATGATTTAAGAATATTCGATTCAATATGAGAAAATTTTTTAATACGATTTATCGGCAGATTACTTCAGTAATAGCTAACTTAAGAGTACCCCCCCCATCCCCCTCTTTTTTGAAAAAAATTTGGATTTTGAGTTGAGCGTAGCCTAATGTAGAGGAAAGTGTGAGCTACAAAATGAGATCGCTCCCAGCACTCTACGACCTTTCTTCAAAAAGTGATGCGTTTTTTAACTTTTTCCTTCAAAGCCTAAATGAAACTCAATTTTTTAGTTTCAAAAACTTTTCTCTCCATTTCTGTACATTCAAAATTTTTCTTACACATAGTCTGATAGAAGAAAGTATTTTCTTCGCAATGAGATGTCCCCCAGAATTTTCCGATGAGTTTTCGTGGAGATATAAGCATCACGGCAAATGCCCTGAAGAAAGTGGCCTATGTACAAAATGAGTTTTTTCTTGCAAACGTTTTTTACTACCGGGCTTTATTTGACCACATTATGACCCCACTTAAAATTCATTCAATCGAGTTAAAAAATTTACCATAGGTACTACCTATGGTAAAATTTTTAACTCGATAGACCTCCCAGTACTTGGATAGGTTAAATACTAAAATCCTTAAGTACTGAGATTTATCAAAATCCATTCGGCGGATCTTGAGATAGCATTTTCATGTTACACGTCTATTCATTTTTCGTTTCTGTTGTTCTTCCACGCCTGTACACTCTTTTTTGCAGTAGAAAGAGGAAATAGCCAAAACTTAAAAAGTGTTTTTTTTGAAAAATCCAACTTCTGGCACTCATCGACGAAGATAAAATTCGAAAAACGAATTTCGATTGGTTCACATTCGATTCGATGCTCTAGTTTATTCTATTTACAGGACTTTTCTACGATTAGCCGATCTTTAGATCATTCGGTTTCTTTTTGCATACGATAAAAAAGCTCAAACAAAAAATAAATGATGAAAAATTCCATTGTACGCTAGGTTGATTTAACAAATTTCAAATGCTTTTACCAAAGTAAGGTTTTGAGAAGGTCTTGGAAATATCTGTCTAATTCTTCAGACATTATTAAAACGACAATATATTCAGTTTTTGCTTAATTAACCCTTTACTTCTCACGGGTCACTACGATGATCAATTGTAGAAACATTATAGAAAATAAACAAAGCGTCGAAATCCAAATCTAGCATGACATTTTATGTAGTGAACTTTACAAACCGTCGGTGAATATAAAAAAAGTTTTTCCTATTGATTGTTACTTCGATATATGACATATAATACAAAATCGAATTACAGCAGCTCTGCTGGAACCGATACGGGGAATAAAGGGTTATTAAGTAGGTAGGCCCAGTGTGCTATTGGTTTAAGGTTTATTGACAGTAAATAACTAATAAGACATGCAATCGGCCTAAGGCCATTACAACATGTCGTACAGGTGCATAAAACAGGCTAGCAGTGTAAAAGAGAAAAGAGAGGAGAAAGAAAATCTATAACAATTACAATAATAATAAAATTAAAAAGAAATATATTGAAAAAAATAATGAGAAAAAGAGTAAGACCAAAAATAGAGTTTCGATTCTCGCGTCTATCGTATTTGAAGCAACAATGAACTAAACCATATGATATCAAGGAGAAGAGGATAATAGGCTATGTGTCAAGCGAAGGAGAATGAAAGCAAAAAATAAAAAAGCGACGAACAGTTGAATCACCCTTCATCATCTCATGCTTTTTTCAATGAAGTCACTCATACAATCGATTATCAACTGAGAAGCGTCTGTATTGCTAGTCTGATTGTTCAACGTAAAAAGTTCAACAGACAAATTAATAGGATCTAGACGTTCGAAAACCTCCTTTCGAATTGTATCGTACAATTTACAGCGAAGAAGAAAATGCTCTATTGTCTCCTCGCTACCGTCACCACAGGAATACACAGGCGAATTGATGCAACCCTGTTCATATAAATAGAAATTCAGCTGCGGAAAATTACACCTCACGAGGAAACCTTTCGAGGTGATTAAACGCTTTTTGCTCGGAATCTAGTGGGTTATAGGTTATCGACCATGATAATTCAAAATGCGACCATGGGGGTTCACCTTAGCCCTTCGAAGATCTAGTTTTCTAGAAAACCAGTTTTTCAGAAACTCTAAGAAAGGTTCTGATTATATTTTAACGAGACATGATTGTAGCCCGTAGATTTCTGATTAAAATGAGCGTCTCCCAGCTTTGCACGACCTTTCTTTGCAAAGTTATCAATTACAAGTAAAGCCCTAAGTATTCATTGTCAGCTCAAAGCAGCAGAAATAAGACGAAATTAATTTAGGACTTTACTTGTAAATTCTATAACTTTGCAAAGAAAGGTCGTGCAAAGCTGGGAGATGTCTCATTTTAATCAGAAATTTGCGAGCTACAATCATGTTCCATTAAGAAAGGTTCTGGTTATATGTTAAAGTTTCCGAAAAAATGGTTTTCTAGAAAACCGGATCTTCGAAGGGCTAAGGGCAACTTCCATGGTCATATTTGGAATTAGCTTGGTCGATAATCTATAACCCACTAGATTCCGAGCAAAAAGCGTTTAATCACCTCGAAAGGTTCCCTCGTCAGACGCATGAACATAGTTCCAGATCTTCTGTTTGGAAAAGTGATGTGTTTGGGAAAAACAAGCTTCTCCCAATTATCAATAAATGATTTTTTCAGCTTATATTGTATTGTATTGATTTTTAAAACACACAGAGATGGAAATGTTATCAAGAAAGTGTTCCATTCATCTATGGTCACCGTAAAAAAATCTCTAACGCGTTCAACTGATACCAGTCGTCCACCACTTCTTAGACTATATCTATGATTTTGGTGTCGCTGAATGTAATCAATTAAATTACATGCTGTGAAACCGCGTGTAATTTTTGTATAATGTATCAAACGATTGATGTAAAAACTATCGCATAGTTTTAACCATCCCAAACTAGATATTACTCTTTCATTTGATGTTCCTTTCATACAACCTAACACAATAAGACCAGCATGGGAGATCGTCTTCAGTTGTGATAGAAAAAAGGACAGAGCCATAAATAAGCAAATTAAGGATATACGACTTATATATCACATCAAGCGTTTTTCTATTTAACAACCATGAACTGTATTTCATAAGACGACAATCGAGCTAACTCGTGAACAAACTTTATTAATGTGAGTTGTCTACAAGGAGGGAAACGGTTGAATTTAGTCCGTTAAATTCAAATGAATTCATAATTCACGTAAATTACTAAAAGTCAAGGAAACCTTACTTAAACTGAACGAGAGTCAGAGAGAGAGAGAGAGAGAGAGAGAGAGATGCTAGTTAACCTTCGAAAACTACCATGATAACGGTGTGGGTATTAAACAGCCAATACTGTGAAGAACATTCGTCTAGCAGCGTTTAGAGTTCTCTTTCCTTTCAGTAGAAAGAAAAGAGAACTCTAAACGCTGCTATCGGCGCCAAAATTCAAGGCACCCGGTTGTTTTCCGAATAACTCCAAAACGATAAAAGATAGAGACTTGCGATTTTCAACAATCGAGTTGAAGTTTCCAGAGATCCGAAGTAATTCTAAAAAGATATCCTAGAAAACCGGTCTTCCGTACGGTTTTGCAAAAGGGATTTGCTTATGAAAACATAGGCTAAACTGTCTTCTTTCGATTGTTGATAATCGCAAGTCTCTGTCTTGTATGATTTTAGAGTTATTCAAATTCACGTATAAAGAGAAATTCACTTAAATTCAGCTAAATTCAGTTAAATTCACGTAAATTCAAAAACGTATCAAATTCAGCTGTTAAATAACCATGTTAAATGATGAGCTCTCTAGAGTAGAAGAGTGGTTCATATCGTAAAGTTTGAATCTTATTTTCAAAAAATGTGAATCGATAACGTTCTCTAGTCGTTGATGTAGCTCAAGGGCTTTACAGTTGCCTCTTCTTCTTAGTGGAAATCCGATCAAAGAATTCGAGATTGTAAAGTACCTAGGTATTAATTTATCTTATGATCTCAGTTGGACAACCAAGGGGAAAACAGCTGAATTTGATACGTTTTTGAATTTACTTGAATTTAACTGAATTCAAGTGGATTTTTCTTTATTCGTGAATTTAATTATTCTAGTGTCTGACGCGCATACGCACTGTAGCAGTTTTAAACACGATTTCAGGCTTTTTATAATCATGATAGAATACATATAATTATAGCTGAATTTAAGTGAATTTCTCTTTATACGTGAATTTGAATAACTCTAAAATCATACAAGACAGAGACTTGCGATTATCAACAATCGAAAGAAGACAGTTTAGCCTATGTTTTCATAAGCAAATCCCTTTTGCAAAACCGTACGGAAGACCGGTTTTCTAGGATATCTTTTTAGAATTACTTCGGATCTCTGGAAACTTCAACTCGATTGTTGAAAATCGCAAGTCTCTATCTTTTATCGTTTTGGAGTTATTCGGAAAACAACCGAGTGCCTTGAATTTTCTCAGGCACAGACTCCAACAAATATAATGATGCTGCTATCGCCGTTATCTGCAACAGCCAGATCAGTTCTGTTATCATTATTAAAATCACCTGTTGTTAGGGAAATTGGATAATTCCTAGTTCTATATGTGACTTGACTTTCAAATCTTCCGTCGCCGTTACCGAGTAATATACTGATGGTGACAATTGCAACAGCCAAATCAATTCTGTTATCACCGTTGAAATCATCTGTTTTAGCGAAACTGGATAATTCCCAGGTCCATATCTGATCTCACTCTGAAATGTTCCGTCGTCGTTACCGAGCCATGTACTGATGGTGTTCACATCGCTGTATTGTGTATCTCTTAGTTGTCGCAACTGATACAAATCCTAGTTCACGCAACGCGTGTTTGCGACAACTAAGAGATACACAATACACATTGACTATATTTAGGAGTGTAGGTTCTTGACTTCTAAAACCTTCAGTTTTAAATATTTCGACTTTTGCAAGAACTTAAGGCAAGACGGTGATTAACCTTTTTAGCAGAATAACTGAAATTATTCTACCTCTTTCGATGTCAGTTCGGTGATTAAGCCGTTTCTGTTTAAGATAGCAGACACACCTATTGAAGAGAGAAAGGGGAATTCTTTGAACTAACTTGAAATGTTTTTCGTATAACAAAGAAACATTTTCAACTCCATCATTCTGTTTAGTTCGAGTTTGAGTTTCTGATTCTATACAATGAACTAGTACAAGTTGATTTTCATTTAATAGCAGATGAATACGTAAAAGAAATTCCTTTCTCAGAAAAACACTTCGCAGATTTTTAATTTCACTCTTATTCATTTTAGGAGAATTAATTCTCTCCAGGCATCTAACAAAGATATCGAATAGGCTTCGCTTTTACCTAAGATCGAACTTGCAACGCAATCGAACTTTCTCGCAACCGACCGACTACTCAAGAAAAACATGAACATGGGCCGCTTATATCACCTCTATTCACACAGTTCCACGAAGAACTGATGATAGATTCCTTCTAGGTACCCAGTAGGAACTGTGTAACAGTTAGCAGAACTTCGTAAGGCAATTCACCGATTCCTCGACTTTTTTTTCGTTTTTTTATCATTGACAAGTTGGAAAAATAATTCTCTCTCTCATACTGAAGAAGAGATATTAATTCAGTGATAATTGAAACCATTTAGAATAATAATAAGAATAAGAAAACCGAAAGAACAACAATTCCTCTTTCAAAAATGTATATCTTCAGCTTACATTTCTGCTTACTATTTATCAGAATACCATCTCCAAGCCCTAACGGACCTGGTTTCGATTATACCCATCATTTCGCTCACACCATGTAGACTCCACTTTCTCGACGTTGCATTACACACTAATTGCTCACTCCATTTTTCTTACACCAGTCTTTGGCGCATGATTTTACATGATTTGTGGCTCCTTGAGGTTTAAATAACTTTCCACATTTTGGGCAGTGTATTCATTGTGTGGATTTCTTGCAAGTACCTCTGTTACTTTGACACGAGCTGTTACTGTCATTTTTCTATTGGCTTTGGCTATTTCGTCTGATCTTCTTTTTTGTGCTCGGCTTTATAGTCATGGATTATAGCCTTGATATTCTAGTAGATTGGTTTCATAAGCACATGTTTATTAATCAATGCACACCATTGGTCCTGGTTTAATATATCTCTTCTCCAGTTGCTAATGTGACTTTTACCAATATCATCCATAATTTTATCTTGCCATCGTTTACGTATACGAGTATTTTGTAACCGTCTGGAATTAGGCAAATAAACAAACATTGTTTTCTTTAGTAATCTAGGCCCATCATCACCCACATTTCCTATCCGATTCACATGGCCAAACCAACGCAAACGATTCCTTCGCATGATGTTATCAAGACACGGTTGACCAGTCAACTCCAGTAGTTTTTCATTGGACATTCTGTCCGCCAAATTCACACCAATAATTGTTCGTAGAAAGACCATGTAGAATGTGTTCAATCGTTGTTCGTGGGCTACAGTCAATGACCACACTTCACTTCCGTACAAGAGTACTGGAATAACGCACACACGAAAAATTCGTAACTTTGCCTCGATTGAGATAGTTTTTCAGCACCAAATAGCATTTCGAAGCATATTAAATGCCGTTGACGCCTTTGCTATCCTTGCTTCTGTTTCGATTTCGGGAGACTGATCTCTCGACACAAAACATCCAGCGAAGAACTCGACAATATCAACTTTTTGATTTCGTATAACAATATCAATGTCGGGTATATCTGCCTCTTCGTCCTTGATGATTCTTCGTGCCGAATCTTCTTTCAGTTGCTTCAACGTCTTAATACACGTGTTTTTGACACTCATGGTTAGTCTGAATCCTTGTATCACTTTTTCAAAAGTTGTTATAAATTTCTCCAGTTCATCAGCGCTTTTACACATTGTCACTAAATCATCTGCATACATTAATGCCAGAATATTCAATTCTTCGAATGCTTTCCCTGCTGTGTGAAAGAAATCACTTTTGCCATAGACTAATTTTACATCCTCCACGCCTGCCTCTTCAATAACTTTTCGCATAATAAAATCAAACAGAATGTTAAAGAGAACAGGAGACGGAATTCTGCCTTACATAACGCCTGTTTCTATATCCAAACCATCTGATAATTTCCCCATTGATCCGTACTTGAGCTTTGGAGTTCGTCTAAAGCAGTTGTAACATCCGAACAATCTTATCTAGTTACCCCCGTCGACATGCTTGGAAATTCTGTGGTGGTTGGATTCGATGACATCTATTCAGCAGAAGACGATCCATTTTATGAAAATGTTTTACTCAAGCAGCGTCTTCTTCATCCACAACATGTATTTGATTATATAGCAAATCAAAAATTGAAAGGAGAATTAATGCGGTTCAATCACAGTCATTCAGGTGGCATGATCATGATGGAATCTATCTGTGAACATGTTGAAATCGAGTGACCTGAAGGAGAAGAAACTTGGTTAATTCATGATGAACTAGCACAGCGCACTCAGTTCGTGAAATACAAACAGCAACCAATGTTAACTACCTCGACATTCAACCCATGAGGGTTATTTTTGTTGAAAATTTGCGATATATCGAGATATTATGCTAAATGTGCTAAAATATCGCGATAATGAGCAACTCTGTCGCGATATAAAAGTGAGTGCAGTTTATCGCAGTCTCTCGATAAAACGCAGTAGGCAAAACTATCGCGGTAGACTTCTAGAACCTTCAGTTTTAAGTATTTCGATTAATAATGGTTTGCAAGAGCTTAAAGCAAGACGGTGATTAACCTTTTTATCAGAATAACTGAAATTATTCTACCTCTTTCGATGTCAGTTCGGTGATTAAGCTACACATTGACCGTTTCTGTTTAAGATAGCACCCAGAGGATTTTTTTGATATGAAAAATTTCCTTTCCACCATTAGCTATTTTTTAACCGATTTAACAGCATTAAATATTAATAAATTCACATGCGTTAAAATGACTTAAAAAGAAAGTTCTAATGCGTTCACACGCCTTAAATTTAGCACACCAAAAGTAAACCAACCTTGGATTACCCCTTGGATTGCGTATATCTGCAATAAAAAGCTCGTTTTCAAGTTTCAGCACCCAACCATTTTACAACCAACTCATTTCTGATTAAAGGTAATACTAGCAAGTTTCTTTTACTCGTAGACGAACCAAAATAACAACGACACATTTTCATAGTTAAAATATCTACGACTGGAAACCCGACCTGAACATCGCCTTCAAAGAAAAGCCGAAGCCGGGAGTTTGTTCGTAGTGAAAACAACAAATCTAAAAACGACTATAAACCTGAAACAAATACAAAAAACATGAACACATAAACAACTTCTCCATCATCACATACATACACAGCTACCCGCACAAAACAACTATCTTTTACACAAACTTCTTTATTTCGGACAACTTCTTCTCAACCCCGACACGGTCCGGATGTCCTGATGCAAGCAACTTTTTACAAATCTTCAAGCATCTTTCAAAACACCCTACAGCACGCTTAAAATCGCCTCTCTTGTCATAAACAATGCCAATATTATTCAGACTAAGAGCAATATCTGGATGATCAGATGGCAAACATTTTTCTCTCATCTTGAGAGATTTTGAATAATAGTCCAAAGCACGATCATACTCGCCTTTGCTGTTATAAACACCGCCAATATTATTGAGTACTCTAGCTGATGCTTTCTCAGGCACTGGCTTGCTCATCATCATTGTTGCATAGCTATGCTCATACAACTGCAGTGCTTGGGCGTACTCGCCTCTGAAGTCGTGAGCACGACCAAGGTTAAACTCAATGTCACTTATATTTTCACCTTGAGGATTTTGAAATAGATTCTCAAAGTACTTCATTGATTTGTCATACTGTTCCATATCACAAAGAAGTGAACCAAACATGATCGCAACGCTTCTTTGCTCGAGCTCTTTTCTATTCAACTTTATATATTCTCGTGCTATATCTGCTCCTTTGCTTGTTAGTCTTAGGTTTACACGACTAAGATCCGGCTTTTCACGATTAACTGACTGAATTTTGAAAGTTGCACCTAGATCAAACAGGACTTCTTGCTCTTCTGGATAATCGCTAAACTTAGCGACGTCAGCACACACAATATCATGATCATTTAACTCATTGAAATCATACTCAATCTCAAAGAGAACAACAACAGCGTCTCGACGCTTCGTCGACTTAGATGCGAAATTCTGCGCCACTGAAGACAAACGACTTGTTGACAGAAAACCATTCATCGAAATGAGTTTACCTTCATTCTCTTTCAGCTTTTCAACTTCTTCATTCGACAGTTTCACACCACGATAGACTCGAAGCACACCCTTCTCGCGCTCTCTCATCTTCTTATACTCTTGTGCAAGACTTGAGCACAGATCGGCAATGAAAAAGCGAAATATGTGCAGTTGTTCGATGTCTTCTGTACGTAGAGCTTTGTTGATGAGCTTATAAACGAATGACTGTCGTGTATACCATCGAATAGCATCAGCTCTTCGGTAAGTGTCACTGAATTCTTGGATGGTTTTCACTTGTTTTTTGTTCCCACGATAATACTCCTGACACTTCTGAATCATCTGTTGTTTCCCATGATTATCAGGAGGCATTTGGATGATTAAATCTTTGAATAGTTGAAACCACAGAAAAGATGCGGATTCACTAGTTAAATCACGAGTCGATTTTTGTTGATTGTAAAAGCTGAATGATTGGATTTGTTTCTCAACTAGATCGATGTTGTTTTTGATCGACTTGACGAGTTCTTCACGTTCATTGAATATTCCGATTATTTTCGAGTACTCATTTTGGAGATGTTTGTAGTTGTTTGGTTTGAGACAGAAGATAAATATGGAGTCGACTTGAGATTGAATCTCGACATGAGGCAAAAGATCGATGGCACATTTGCCCGATGTGACAAGAAATATTCTTTCGTTTTGAACATTTGTGATGTGGTCGATGCATGAGTCTAAGTGTGTGTGGGAAACAACGAAGTCGTTGATTTCTCTCAGCATTGCCACAGTGCGTTGTGTGTCATCGTCTGAGCCAATGTTTGGATCAAGCCAGATCAATATTACACTCTCTTTGTTTTCATCATTTGGTGTTCTCTCAGTACTAGTGGCAATCGTCGATGGTTGAAGTGAAGAAGAAGATGCTTTCGATGTGGATTGTGCATTTTCACCGATTTTTGTGCAAGAAGCTGGTGATGCTTTAGATATTTTTGTTACTGCTGATGGAGGAGATGTCGGAGATAATGATTTTGTGTCATGCTTTTCGTTGCTCAACCAGTATTTGTGAGAAGTGGAGGACGAGGATGAAACTGTCGCTTTAGTCTTAGAGTTCATGTGTTGTCGTTGCGGTGTTCTAAAAGTGAACGGTAGAAGAAGTGAGAGGAGTGCGGTATTGAAGTGTTGATGACGGTTAGTCTCTGCTCTCTTGTTTTATTTAAAATAAAAACAATGCTATACTGAAGAAGCGCTGATACTTTCAGTTTGCAGACATTTATTCAGTTGACGTAAAACTGTTCTTTCTGTGCGCTATTTGTATAGTTTGTTGTGAAGGAATAAGTCACTGGAAGAATAATAACACTGTTTTCGTTGTGAAGAAAGGTAATGAAAATAGAAGTGATGGCGAGAGTGTATTTGTTCTAGTTGATAAGAGCATGATATTGAAAAGTGTTTTGCTTTCATGAGATTAAACAACATACTGTTACGTTTTGTTTTTCGAAGACAAGCAAAAAGAGAACAGGCGAATAATACTTACTCTCCACGTCACTGTCGGTGGTCGTTTCTTTTTTTGTCGAAAAAAGCCGACATAATGACTGGGATCGACGGAAAAGATAAACTCAAAGTGAATCTTTGGAAAGTACATTTCTCTCACGTTCATTGATTGATATGAAGTTCAGGCTTACTTTGAGCGATCTAGACAGCTCAACGTGAAACTTGTGTAACATAGAGTTAAGGTACATGTTACTTCGAAGAGAAACGTCTACTCTGCAAACATCGATGAAAATCAGTAGCGTGAATGGAGCGCATTGCCCTCTGCTTCTGGAAAGTTTTCCGTTTTCTACAACAAACGTAGAGTAATGTGGGGTAATTCAGTAATTTTTTGGTATCCTTGTAAGTGTTTTTTGAATATCTTTGTTATTTTTGAGGATTTTCGTGCGCACTTTTGCTACAATATAAGAAGGACTCTTAGCTATCTGCCTGTGAAAAATCGTCTTCAACACTCTCAGGGTAACGATCTTAAAAGCGGATTACTGGATTGCCCCACGGACTTTCTTGGATTACCCCCTCCCCCCCCCCCATTCAAGAAAATACATAGTTCTCGTTGGGGCAATTCAGTAGTCTCGTTAAAAGTGAGCGATATTTTTTGTTTTTTATAAAAGCTAATTATCGCACGAATAATTAGATATTGTTAACAAGATTTTTATATCATTGAATTCCTCTTACTCTCAAAAACACACTGGCATCAAACTCCAAGTTATTCGACCAAAACTCACTGAGATTCTCTCGAAATAACAGGCATCGGTCAAATAACTCGATTCTTGAATTGCCCCAAGAATCACGTAGAAAGCAATGGGGGAATTCAATAATTTCCGGTGAAATGGCTGGAGGAAACTGGTCAATCTTGAAACCCTATTCTCCTAGCCGTATATGAACAAAACTGAAAAATGTGTTTGTTTATAGAAGTCCCCTGAGCTTTAGATGTGGTCTAAATCATTTGTAAAGTGAAAAGCCAACGAGATCAATTATTCTCTGGGTTTTTATAAATTCTGCGGTTAAGAACTATTTTCCTTGCATATCTTCCTCTATCATAGATTATCTTAAGAATGGTTTGCACATACGTAAGGAGAAAAGAACAACTGTACACTAATAATGATCTAAATGAAGCAATTAAATTAATCAATGAAAATAAACTAAATGTTATTGATGCTGCCAATAAATACGGAATTTCTCAAAGCACATTGTACAACCGTGTATCAGGTGTAAATGGATGTGGCTCACCAGGTCGGAAAACGATTTTATCTAAACAAGAAGAATCGTATCTTGTGGATATTATTAAAAAATTGCAAGAGTATAACCATCCCATGTCTAATTCAGATGTAATTAAATTAGCAAGATTTTGGTTGGTACTTTTTGTCTCAAACATGAGTCCCTCTGTATTCTAATTCTCTTTGTTTTCTAAACCATGAGAGAGTCCATGGTCCATCACTGCTCGGGTGATATTTGAATAAGTTCAAGCTCCCTCATTTCCTTGTTCCGAAAAACTATTTAAAGGGTATTTCATTATAGGTCCGCACACTTTATACAGACGTCACAGTTGCGAAGATTTCAATACCGACATCGTGTAGAGCATAAAAAGTTATCCGTAGAACATTAGACTCGTTTTTCAAAAACCCATGTGGAACATGGTTTTCCAGAGGTCCAGGGTTTCCGGAATACTTTTAGGATTTTCCTCTCAAATCCAAAAAACATCCTTTGAATACTGTACATGAAAATATAGAGGCACAAAGCCTGTGTAAAATAGAGAAAGAATTGGCTGGATACCTATCCGTGTTTTTGAACAGAACTCAAAAGCCAAGGATGTTGCATTTTATATCTCAGTTGGTGAATCTTCATGAAAATGATTGAATCTGAAATACTGCCTTGATACAGCTAAGTTATTTTTCTCTGAGAAACCACTTCTTGTTATAAATCTAGTTTTGAAGAAAAATATAACGAAGGAAAATAGGCGGCACTGTCACGCTCATTTTCAGTCTTCAATTACTTTAAAACGTGCAGTTACTCAGAAACAAACTTAGCTCAAAAAATGCATTAATCAAAAAAACTTCAGTCATTCGGCGAACTTCCCACCTGCTCTCAGAACTTGTACCAAAAACGCTGATGCCTTCCTTCCCTTAGCGCTCGCAGTATGCATTTAGCGAACGCACACGAGCTTATATCAACAGAAAGATTTGCTTTATCGCAGTTGCTTTTATCTTTGCTTTTGTAGAGTACTCAAACAGTTTTCTGAAGACCCTGCAGAGATTCCCAAGTGCCACTCACTATGGTCACTCATCATTTCTCACCAAGATCAGCTCAGAAATTGGTCGAAAATTTGGAATTTTTCTGGAGAGATCCTAGTTACCCCTTAGGTGTCCTAGACGTTGCTCACGAAAGAAAATGATGATGAGTTTCATACTGTTAGACTCACAGCAACTATTTCGAAAAGATTTTTCATAGGTATCGGTTAAAAAATCAGAACTTTGACGTGTTAGTTTTAGTTTTATTTGAAAGTTCTCATGAGATCTTATGCATTCATTACGTTCCTTGATGTGTTAATTACTGTGTAGTTATGTAGCGCTTTAACCCAGAGTCATAGGATCTTGACTTAGAAATTTTTTAGCAAGTAAGAGTGCACTGAAGACATATATTCATTGAAAATAAACTTTTAAATTTAGAACGCTTTCTTTCCGATGAGTTCATACTTAATTTTGATGAGCAACTTTATTGCAAAAATAATCAAACACATTATAGATATTAAAATAAAAAGACGATAATTTTCTGCATACAATCAGAAAATAAATAAATAGAACGCTTATTTAAAATCCTAACATTGGTTCATCTCTTCTAATATCTTTAGGTACATCTTGTGGCGTTTGAGATCTGGGTGTACTTTGTGATACTTGTGAATTTTGTGAAAATTGGCTAATAATACCACCAAGACGTGAATTATTATTGTTGACAGATTGTCTGACATTTGTCATATCATGCCGTGCTGTTGAAATATTTGCCGATGGTTGGAGCAACTGAGTAGTGACACTAGGCAAGGGTGAGGGGTTGAAACGAAATGGAGATGATTGTTCAACATCTATAATCAAATAAATTAAATTAGTGAGACAAACAATCTCTGTTGAATGGCGAACGCTTACCGTTATTCAATACAATGAATGCTGTTGAATTCAATTCATTCTTTTCGATATTTACAGAAAATAAATACGTTTCTCGCGTTGCACAACTGTACACTGGACATCTACTATTGATATTTATATTATCTTGTGATTTTTGATCAACAGCATAAACGTATACGGGAGGAATTGTGCTGATTTTGCCACTGAAACAAATTATGAATTATTTTTATCGAGATATCTGAGTACTTGCTAAATACTCATAAATTTACTAAATTCTTCGGAAAACAATGACCGACAATCACAAAGGTCGTTTTATTCAGAAAAATAATACTTTTCACAATGAAAATTTTGTTAGCGTCAAGTTTTTCTACTTCAAATTTGGATTTCCAAAGACCAAAAAGTATCACATTTTGCTTAGTCTTTTTCGCTCTTTCGATTGTTACACAATTCAAAATTTCAAAATAAAGAACAGTCCCAAAAATAAATAAATTAAAGAAACAGTCGCATTTTGAGAAAAACTTTTGATTTCGTTTTGTAAAAATTTTATAACTCAAAATAGAAAACTTTTCTAAAGTTTAATAATTCGGATTTATTACTTTGACCAGAGAATTGAACAAAGATACTCGTTGAAAAAATTGAATTATAGGGGTCCTCATGAGTAGGGGTGGCACATTACCGTTACTGTTACGAGTAATCCAAATATTGTATATATTCCTGTTACCAGTAAGAGTAATACTTTTCAGTTTTACTGTTGCCGGTACAAATTTTATGAACATTCCTATTACCAGCAACAGTAAAACTGAAAAGTATTACTCTTACTCGTAACAGGAATACAATATTTGGATTACTCATAAAGTAACAGTAATGTGCCACCCCTACTCATGAATTGTCTCTTAATTCTTACCTTGTGAATTTGATCGTATTAGTTGTTGAATCCCATAAACCATTGATTATTGTCATACTATTGAATACAAGATAGTTTCGATTTTTATCGTTTGTCAATGAATCGTTCATTTTCCCAATACAAACAATCTGAATAAGAAATAAACATGTCTATACAGACAACTTTCAACAGATTTACTCGTTTTACTCACATTGTGAATATCAACATTTAATCGTGTTGCTTCCATGATGCGTAGGGCATGTATCAAATATTCTGCTCGATGAATAAATGGTGCATTGATTTGTTGTACAGTTGATAAATCGGCATTTAACCACGCATAATATTCATTAAATCGACGACGACAATCTAAAATGAATGTTACTTCAACTTATGTTTAGATCTTCTCAGAATATGAAAGATACTCACCATGAATCCATTGTGTTATACCAATATACTGATTTCGAGTTTTTACTGTTTTCCAACAGTCGGGTATTCGTTGTTCTTGTAGAGCAAGTGCAATAGGTTTCCAGTGTTTCGAAAATAATACTGAACCCAAACTAAGATAATTTTCGATGATTTTAACATGATAACGAGCCAATTGCAACTGTTTATTAAAATATTCAATTTCCTGTTATGAATAAAAGAAAAGGCAATGAATTCTGTTCGACTTCACTCTTGTTGATTTTTGAGAAACTACTATCTGTTTCAAAATATAGCGAGTGCTGGAGAGCTTCTGAACAGATAAAGATAAAGATGGAAAATCGCGATTTACAGTAACTTGTAACAAGGGACACTGTCGGAAGTCAATCTATGGATAAAAAATGAATTCAAAAATCTTTTTATCAGATAGGATTTTTGAAACGATCTCTCTACTTGAGATGATGATAGAACTAGAAATACGGTATATTCAAAGAAAATGTCTTTGATCTCCTTTCAGAGCTTTTGGAAAAATTTCAGAAAGAGTGTCATAGGTTCTTCTCGAATTTTGAGCCATGTGATCATGTATTTTGACATCCAAATGTGATTCAACGAATTCAAGCTCACTTTATTCTGAAATGGATGCTGGTCAACAGTATTCGTCCTACAGTACTCTTAAACTTACTTGATATAACTCAATTGCTAATGGATCAAGATTTTCTAATGAAATATGTTTGAGATTTAGTTGTGGTGGTAATCTTTCTTTGAGTAATTGTAACGCAAAATTAACAAGATTTATTTTTAATTCTTCTCTATTTAGCATTTTGAAATGCCACAATTGATTAAACTCTAACGTAAACTGTTCATACTGTTTCAGTCGCTGTTTTTCTGTCGTACAATAATCATTTACTCTAATTTTTGATAGTTTAAAGTCCTGATTTTGTTTATGTTCGTTCATAAACCATTCGTATGTGTATTGATTATCATTTATTGGCACAGAAAATTCGCAATTATCTAAACGTAATTTTGTTGTGGCTTGTTGTTGTTGTTGAAATAATTCATCAAGACAATGTTGAACATACGAAAAATCATTTGGATCGGTGATAAATGTATGAAAGATTTGTTCAATAATTGGTTTAGAATATTTTGGATCTGATCCTGATTGATCCGATGACAAAATAGTTAAAATATGTTGAGCAAAATTGTTTGTCCATGGTATCCAGTTCGCTAAATTTGATCGATTAAAGAGTTGAATTGAAAGTAGAATACCTTGAATGAGAATACAACCATAAAGAATAGTAATTTGATTCTTTTTACATTGAGATAATATTGGTGAAGAATTTTGTACTATATTAGCTAATGTATGTCGAATAAATTGTGTACGATCATAATAAGTTAAATTAAGGAGTTCAATTGATGGAAGAGAAGTGGAAGAAGATCTATGTTCGATTGTAAACAGTAAACTATCGTAGTCAAATAGAAGAGAATTGACAGAAATATGAATTGGTAGTTCGACAAAGGATTTCTTTGTAATTAAAACATGATATGATAGACGATTATCTAAAATGAGTGAATAAAAGCCAAGTTAGTTTGAGGTATCATGCAATTCTACGATATTTAAAAGGAAATGTCCTATGAATTGTTCAAACAAAGTTAACTTTAATGACAAACAAAGTGAGAGATAGAAGTTGAACCGTATTTTCAACGTTTGTCTTCCTCACCCTGCAGCAAAATTGTTCGAAGGAGAGAAACATACAAGACGATTTTGGTGTACACAATAAAAACGGAATTTTTTTTTGAGTATTCGTGAATGCTCAGGAGTATGCTCCTTGACTTAGTTTCTCAAGATTTAGAGATTTTTGATCGTTCAGTGAAACTGTGGAAAACTGTTAGCTTTTTACGAAATGACGTGTACTAGATGTAGACTTTCGCCTTGAAACCTCAAAAAAAAGTGACATGTTTATAGAAAGTAGAAAATTTCCTAGATGATGATACCGTCCATCGATTTTATCCTTCTTGCAACTGAAAAGTTAATGTTAAAATTCGAAAAAAGTATGACATATATCTAAAATTGAGTGTTCTTGCTCTGACTCAACGAAAGCGACTATTCAAACTTCTTTTAGCTATCTCACATGAGAAAAGAGTTGAAAATACAAATCTTTTCAACCTTTGTCTCCTACTTCAAGATTGTACAACATTAAATAATTGCATTTATTCTGATTTTAGAAAATATTTTAAGAATAATTACGTACGTCTGATATCATCGAATATTGTCAACACTATTTTATTCGATAATGAACTTGTATCAAAATTCTTCAACATTATCATATCATACTGTTGTTGTTTCTCATTATCTGACGTTGGCAGTTTCTGAGCTGTTGTCTGAATATTCAGCAGTGGACAGTCAATAACACGAACACTTTTGTATTTGCCCTGTAATAAAAAAAAAGAAATTGTTAACATATTTTGTAAAATATTCTGTTTCTGTCTCTATAAGTTACTTGTACAAATTTTTCAATAACATCATTGACATGTGTTTTTGTTGTCAAGTATCCATCATATTTGTCATTTAAACTTGCATCAACATTCATATCAGGTAAATTAACTATCACACACGATTTTTGTTCGTCATTAAATAATTTAATATCAATGGTCATCTCACGTAAATTAAATTCTTTGAAAACATAATCTGTTAATGACAATAGATAATAATCAGGTCTCAATATTCGTATTAATAACAGTTTTTCAAATTCATTTAACACTTTTTCTTCTCCATTAATTTTTAAATTTGGTATCGTTTTTGTTTGTGGTTCATCATACCATTCTTCCCATTGTTTCGATTCAATTTCATTTGTCATTATTACACGTGATAGTTGTCCAAGTAAATCTTGATCAGAGAATAACTGTGTTAATGAACATAAATCAAACCATTTGGATTCATCTAACCATTGTGGCTTTTTAATCGAGGGAAAATTTAATGCTTCAGTATCAATGGCTGGTAAACCTATATCACAACATAATCAATCAAATTGTGCTAAGAATTTGAGTGCATAAAAAAAGAGTAAAAACAAACCTGTCGCTAATAATTCCAGTTCCAATGCGTTTGATGCACTTGATTCACTTGGCGATGCTGTTTTAATAAAAAATTGCAATAAAACTAAGAAATGAAGTCGATGTTTTGCTGATATTTGACTAAAATAAAAGAAAAATGTTTAATTCTTTTTACATTCAAGATTAAATCATGAAGAAGAAACGTACGGTAATAATTTTTTAACGAATGATTCGATCATTTTTTGAATCTTTTCTTGTATTTGTTTTTCATCCATAACCGGTGTCGTCATATCATTGTCATATTTTAAATTACTTGTATCTAGTAGAGTGGGTAGTTCAGGAAAGTCTAGAAGAAACGATTTAGTACATAATGTCGTTAAAACTTTTAAGCCCCCTCCCCCGGGTCAGAAACTTATCTCAGTCTAGGTAGGTCTGATCTGAGCCAAACTTTCAGGGAATATTGACCATGTCAAAGTGTGATAACGAAATTTTTTTTTTGACATCACTTGCAACTGTTCGTGAGAGAGCGCCACAACAGGGGCCACAAATAGACTTCTGCTATTCACAAGAATTCTCACTCCAGGTAAATGATAGAGAGCTCGGGCTAGTTTTGTTTTGTAGAAAACACCTATGCCTAGCGGTTGACAGAGCCCGATTTTTGAATTTCTGATTTACTGATTTCTGGTGCTTAATAGAACTTTAAAATCCGAAAAAGTCTTTGAAGATTTCTTAGAAATCCTCATTTCTATAAAAAATAGAAGCGTAATTTAAAAATCAGACTCTGTCAACTCCTACCTATAGGTGTTATCTACAAATCAAAAAAAAGAAAAACTTCCTTCGATGTATCGTTACCGAGAAATTCCTGTGAATGGCGAAAGCCCTGAAGCTAAAAGACAGTCTAAGAAAAACGCAAGATAAGTTCTGATTCTGTTAAACGCGTTTTATTCAAAAACTGTTTGAGCGTTAAATAATTTGTCGATATTTGACTAGAGATTATCGGTCATGGCGGATCCAATGAACAGGTGCGCGGTCATGTGCGGCACATGCATGCGCTTATGCAATAAAAGTGCGAAAAGGCCAAATTTTTTTGCTATGGGGCTTCTGGAAAACTCGCTCAAAAGCTAGGAAAAACCTATCCTATCGACACAAAAACTATGTCATTAGAAAGTAGACGCTTTGGGCTATCCAACCATGTGCTTTTCTCAGAATTAATATTATTGCCGAAAATCGGTATTTCTGTCCCGAGGGGGGGACTTAAACCATTTGATTATGCTACCTGGATCACGATCATTTTCGGTTTGTGAAGTTGGTGATTCCTAAACAAATATCATTGCAGAATATTTATCAAGTTAAAATATATTTAGAGGATAGAGCGTACTTTTGTATCAATACTAATTTTTCCACAGTATTGATCTAAGAGATCGTAAATCAATTGTAATGAAAATTTATAATCTGGCGATAATAGATTCATTCGTTGAATAACCGAATAGAGAACAGCTGCATGCTGAGCAAATGGAAAGAGACTATCAATTTCTAATTCTATTTGATCTAAGAGACGATAACATTCATCTAATATTTCACCGAGCTAAAAATCATCACAAAATATCGTCAAATAGACATGCACTTTTGTTCTTTCCAGATTATAGGATCGATACTTGATTTTTGAATAACTTGAAACCAAAGGTGATAGAGATTTGCAGTTCTTGTCATTCGATAGCTTTAAAGTACCTTTTTTTCTTTTATGATTGCGATAGCACAAAAGGAATTCGAAAAATTTTCTTAAAAATTGCTTTTTTCGGAAACTGTAGAAAGCACTTAGAAAAGGTTTAGGTAGCACTATATTGATTTTTTTACGCATAAATAGCTCAAGGTGTTATAAAAATTACAAAAAACTTATATTCGCTGAATTAAACCATTTTTTTGTCCATTTCACCCAAAATTCAAAAAACTCATAACTCAGTCAAAATTAATTAAGACTGCTGGGAGTTGTCTATGTGCCTAAGGTTATAATAGCCAAGTGCTAAGGATCCCAAATACATGACATATCCCATATCCTATAGCATATAGGACAGAAGCTTACTCTCATCTGCCCTCTTCCTGCCTTCGCTGTTAGAAAGAATTTTTCTCTTCTACTTTTCTCTTCTTCACGTCAGGACGTCAGCTATCGATAAGAAAATTTCAGAGATCCATGCTCACTATAGACTTCAATATCATACTGTATATTGTATACTGAATAACTCTGAAACTACTTTAGAATATCATGATATAGTCTCTTTTACCTACACTGTACCCTGAAGTTTAGTAAACATTTTAAAAATTCTTAGAAATATTTTGGTTTTCGAAAAGGATTTTCTAGAATTCGTCTGAAGTAAGAAGTTCCTTATTAGTAATCTTGGGTATGGTCGAACAAAATAGAGCTTATTCTAAGTAGTGATATTCTGAAGTAGTTTTAATTGATTTTAAGTGAGGTTTTCGGTGAAATTCTCTGAAATACTGTTTTTTTTTAAATTAGTTTGGTCATAAAAAGGTGCTTTAAAGTCTTAGCTATCGCATGGTGAAAATCGCAACTCGCTATCCCCTTCTGATTTCAAATTATTCAAAAAACAGTCACCAGTCTTATAATTTGAAAAGGATAATAGATCAAACAAACCTTGTATTTTCTTTCCAAAGCCACAGATGTAATCATCACTTCATTCGCTTGAAAACCATCACTGTAATCAAACAGAACAATGAGTACTTTAAGTTTAACTATTAACATTGTCTTTTTCTGTTACCTTTTCCATTTATCTTTTAACAGTTCATCGATTGATTTCACTCTTTGTTCACCAATAAGAACTGATTTAAGGATATTTAATTTCATTTGATACAATTTTGGTTTTATACAGTGAAATACTTCTGTTCTTAAATCATCTAATAGATTCTCGACCGAATATTGATAATTACAACATGTAGTTAATAAAGTTAACGAACGATCGATCGATTTCAATGATGAATAATCAGTTTGAAATAAAAATGAAAAATTGGGTGAACAATATAAACGACGACCACAGTAAATAATCAAATTACTATCTAAAATGATTAACAACAGGAAAACAAAATAAATTGATAAAGAATACAACAAATAGTTTTCTTTTCTTTTTACCATCTTTTCGATTTTGTTCATTTAATGTCGTTTTCCACTGTGCCAATGGATATAAAATACTATCCAATGATTTGCAATTTGTTATTTTCAAAGTTGTACCATTGAGAAATGATTGTTCAATTAACATAACAGCATCATTCGTTCTATTTTGTAAATATAAATTTCATTTTAGAAATTTAACAGAAGAGTAAAGACATACCCATGATCAAAATCGATTGTTTCTGGTTTATAATAGTTTTGAATCCAAGTGGTTGCTGCAGAAAATGGATCTAGTAAGAGTGCTGGATATTTTGTAGATTTAATTATTATTGTATTATTCTCAATTTGGGATGATAAGACGCCTAGAAAAAAGAAATTCATAACATATAAAAAAGAAATTCGTAACATATTTAGACTGATTATTCTAATACATTCAATTATTGAACGTGATGGAACACACAATGAAAGTCATCACTGTCCCCATGTTTCTATGATCAATAATTAAATATGGAAAAGACAAAATTATCCTAGTCATTTTCAACTTCTAACGTATCAACGGTTAGATGTCTAAATAATTTTGACTGCTCTATCTGATGCACACATAAGAAATGTAGATGAATTTCTAACTGAATAATCGACTTTGTCAATGATAGCGTAAACCGTCTTGTCATTACATACCTTCACTTAGCCATTTTAAAAATGTATCATCTCCAATAATAAATTTAATTAAAGAGAATAAAAATTGTTGATATTCAGTTGCATTCATTATTTGACTTAATTCACTCTAAAATGAACAAAACAAATTTATTCACATTATCTACCATAATAAAATCCTTACCAATGGTATTTCCGCATCGGCCATCTCGTTGTTGTTGTTATCATCGTTATTCAGATTTTGCTCTATCATTAAATTTTCATTCGTTTCTTGTTGATTTTGTTTTGCTAGCTCTTCATCTGGTGCTGCTGCCACTGCCGCGGTTTCATCATCCGTCTGTTCTTCTGTTATATTTGTTAGTACTTGACTTTGTCCAGGTATCAGTTCGCCTGTTTCAGGTAACTGTTGTTGTTGTTGTTGTTGTGCATCGGTTAATAAACGTGAAGCGGACGAACTACGACCTAAATCAAATTGTTAGTAACAGATTGTTCTCTATGAACGTTTATATTTTACCATTCATATTGCCTTGTACACTTTTTCTTCCACCGTCAAATTGCCAATTTATAACTCGTCCTTTAACACTTGATATTTCATCAAATATTACCGGTAAACCTCTATCTCGAATACATTTGGCCCAATGAATGGTTAACATTAAACGTCGAAATCCGTATGAATAGGGTCCAATGTAGGTAAGAAAACCAGCTGCATAAGCACAACTTGCTGGTAAACTATGAACACGATCTTTTAGTGACTCAAATATTTGAATATTACGTTCATATTCACGAGATAAAATCTAAAATAATTACAATATTCACCATTTTATTGAAAACAATAATTTTTAAACAAAATAGAACCAACCGTGTTTAGTTGTGAAGCTGTTTGCAACTGATTTGTTTTTAACAATACTTTTTCTTCTTGATCTTTCTTATCGACAGTTGCTTCTTCAAAATTTTGTGATAAATCTTTTAAACGCGCTTCTAATGCCTATAATAGAAAACAAAAGTGTGAGTTAGAATCTTCTCAGATATATATGATAATCTTTAATCTATCCTGTCGGTCTGTTACGTCTCCTGCATCATTAAGATCACTTTTCTAACATGGTTATTTACTAGATTGAAAAGATGATCTCAATTTCAAATACAGAATTTTTTTCCACACATTTTTTTCTTTTACACCGTTTAAATTTTAACAGTCCATGCAGACGAGAACAGTCGTTCGAGAGATGCGATGAGTACTCGAAAATGACCCTCACCGAGAGCTCGATTCCTCGATATAAGCGTTCGAGGGTTCATCGATTTTGAATCCTCGATTTCCAGACAGGAAGTGAGCCCTTGAGAGAAATTCCAGGCAGTCGAACAGAGATGCTCGGGACTTCCGAGACCTCGTCGCATCCTGTCAACGATGGTTTGGAAGTCTTTTCGTCTGCTAGAGCCCCGAACATCTCTGTTCGACGGCTCGACATTTTTCTCAAGGGCTCCTTACTTATCTGAAAACCGAAGGCTCGAAATCGATGACCTTCGAACACTTATATCGAAGGTCCGAGGCCTCATTTTTCGAGGAATCAACCCCTCCGCGAGGGCCCATCGAAAGCGTATTTCTGAGTACTTGGAATATCCCTTGAACAAAGGGTTGGATCTTAAGGCCGGAAAACAAAGAGAACAATCATGTTTTAAGTTCATCATCTTTTCAGTTTTAATCATTATCTAATGCAATGGGAACTAAATGATCGTAATGCTGCTATATCAGCTTCTATATTCAAAGTTCCATTCAAATAGTTTTTGTTTGCTTGAATTCACCGACGTTCCTGTATCATAGATTTTTTCTTACTGGGACGTCTGTATAGCGTTGCTGTCCTTGTTCATATCATAGCATTGCCGATGTTTCTGTTCCTTACATTATAATGACCAGCTTATTCACATCAATTTCAGAAATGTAAACTCAGTAAACAGTTTTGAGCAATACTTCAACTTGTTGCTTTGTCAGTAGTAGACAACGATTTACCATCAAAAAGTGATGATAAATTATAAAAAATGTACAAAGCGTGTTAAAAGAAAGACTTTTCTATCAATTTTGGATTAAGAACACAGTTTATGTCTATAGAATTTTTCTACTGGAAAACTGAGATCACTTTTTATATCTCATGGATCAACATGTTAGAAGAAGTGGTCTCGATCACGATGTCTTCTCTGTTATATACCTCACTCTTTTTGTTTAATAAAATTAATTTTTGATCTTGTTCAAGCACATCTTGTTCGATTTCTTTACATTTATTATGTAATGGACGAACTTTTTTCAACAAAATTGAATGATATCTAAGAATTAGAATACACGATAAATTCCATCTCATTTCATAGATCTCCTCTCAAAACTTACTGTAGAACACGTTTGACCCATTTGTAAAGTGATACCATTGATGGATAATGTTTTTCTGAATAATCCGTATTATCTGACAATTGTACACGATCAATAACACTATCAATCAATTTTATTGATTCTTCTGTCAGTGCTAATTTTTCGAACGATTGAGTTTCTTCCAAAAATCTAAAAAGAGCAGCAGGAAAAGGTAGATTTAAATTATATGAGAAAATATATTTTTTTTGTTTTTTACCTATCGATATTAGCCATTTGTCGTTTAGCACCTTTTTGCCAACTCACATCAGCCGTTGGTGATTTCACTGAAACGAAAGAGAGAGATGTTTTCAAGTATATACTTGATAATATACACTTACATATCATAATCACCGATGCTAAAATATCTTCTAATTGTTGTTCTGGTTTTTGAATGGATCGTAATTCTTGTAGAGAATTCATATCAATATTTTGCATTAATTTTCGTGCATCTGTTGCTGTTGCCAACATTTTGTAAATATTCTTTTCTTGTGTCAACTGATATTCTGGTAAAAGCTATAAGAAAAAAGAAATGGTTGAAAAAATTCGACATTTCTTAATTTAAATTCTTTTTATTTACTCTCTTTAATTGGACAGTTCGTCTTGTTTGAGATTTATGGGCTCGTATTTGTTGTTCAGCCATAACCATATCTTGACCAATTTGAACAAGCATTCTTTCAGTACTCTAACACAAAAAATTACAGAAAGATATGTTAGAGATACTTCACGACAAAATCGATTTTTGTTTTCTCTATGTATGTTGCATACTATCTCATTTCGAAAGCTGGGTTAATGGAGATAAATCTGGTTTTAATTTCTCATATGGTATAACTATCCTCTAGTGGGAAACTTCTTCATTCAAGATGTTGGTACAAAAGCGTAAGACATTAAAGAAATTCCATGACGTTCAAGATCTTGAAGATTGTTGAGTCACTGTTGTGTTTTACACTCTTGTTTGTATATAGATGAACAAAACAGCTCTTCCCTCCGGTGCTTTTAATGCGGTTTCATCTGAACTTTTGCCTTTCTGTTCTTCTACTATCAAAGTTTCGTGATTGATTTCTGATCTTCTCACTCTTTCGTCTGCCTAAGCTTTGATTATCCCTATTCTCATCTTCTAACTTTCTGACTTACGTGACAGTATCATCGACAGAGAAAGTCAAAGTCAGTGCACATCACTTGACTCTTGGAACATAATTCTGAGGGTAAAATGACTGTTGGCATAAATTCAGTACTTGGACATCTATGAGACAAACAATAATACGCCTTCATTTTATCCGAGTTCTTGGGTTGGATTCTTAGAAACTGAAGGGACGGCGGATAAAATTCTATTTTCTACAAATTGTCACTCAAATTGGGACAGTGTAGAGATTCTAATATTGAAGACTTATTTAAAGATCTATTTTGAAAAAGAATATCTCATAATTCTTTACGTATATAATTGATAAACTTCCAATATTTCAACATACTTTTAATCTTTCATCTAGAACCATTTTTTCATGTTCCAATTCCGACTTTAATTTTGCTGCTGTTGTATGTTGATATTGAATTTGTTCTAATAAACGTGTGACATCTTCATGTGATTGTTTAACAAATAATGATTTATCACTCAATATCAAAACAAATCTAAAAAAAACACATCAATCAACTTATTTCAACATTATGATAACAGCATGTTTATTTCATTTACTTTTCAACAAATTTTGAATATGTATGATTATTAACATGTGGTAGTTGTTCTTCATTATGTGTATGAATTGAAGAATGCATTGATGCTAACAAATGAGCCGTATTTTCAGCATCTGCTTTATCTAACCATGATAGTTCTAAATTAATTAAAATGTAAATAAATATATTCATTAAACAGTTTGCATTCATATCTACCTTTTAAATGATACATGGCATTTTTAACCAATGTTTTATAATCCCAATGTTGTAGATAAATTAATGAAATATTATTGAATAAAGCTGGATAATCCAAACATAATTGCTGAAATCTTTCGCTAGTATCATTTAATAATATTAACACACGAATATTATCTTTTACATTACTGAAAAAATATATCACAATATCATTAACAATTCTAACTATATCCACAAAGATTTTACTCACAAAAGCAAAAAGTAGAATGCAATAAAAACAGGATCATTATTTTAAAGAAAATTAGCTGTTAAATGAACATTAGAACGCATTGTTTAGATATCAAGAAGAAGCATAAATAAAAGAGTAAAACAATAACAATAAAGACATTCATTCATCGTCTTTCTTGTTATGTTCATGTTTTTTGTCAATAGCGACGAAATAATTGTCGAGAAAAATATGTAAAATTATATAAATTCTATTAATAAGTTGATAAGTCTAATAAAAGTCTGCAGAAGACATGGAGATAAATGTTTTAAATAGTAATTGTTAAAGTTTTGATATTTATCATAAAAATTGTACAACATTTCGAAATAAGATGATAAAGTTAGCATCTTACAAGAAGTAATTATTATCAACAAAATGAAACAAAAGTTAATACTTTTTTGTTTCCATTTTGAAGAGAATATATCAAACGCATAGGACAAAGAATTTTTGTTTTTTTAATCAATTACCGTAATATGCTACAATGACAAATTATGGTGATTAGTAAAGAAAATGAGAGACTAGACAAGTAGATTGAAGAAAATCAATGGACACGAGTTCACAAAAGTGGGAGAATGGAACAGTTAAAGATATTGAGGATTCATTCTATGAAAGGAAGGAGGGATATTGACTGAAGTGCTAGTGTAAGGGGAAAATGTGATGAAAATATTTAAATTAAAATTCTATTTTTTACCGTAAAAAGAACTCCCATGCCACTTGTTTTGAGAAAGTGAGACCCGCTTGTTGTACTTGTGTTCTGACAGAATTCAATACACTCGTTTCTTCTTCCAAGGAAAAGAGACTCGTCATTTCTTCTGAATTTAATAAGTTCATTACGTGTATAATTAAATCAGTATGTTGAAAATCTTCTTCTGTTATTAATAGTAGCATTTTTTCACTCTAAAACGTTTATTAATGATATCTCGAGATGAATAGAATTTATAAAAGTTAAAACATACCCTAATGCCTGCTTCGATGTATGCCTGTGTTAGTTTATGTTTAATAAATTGTTGAATCATTTTTGCTGTTGTTACATAATGACTTGTTTTGAATGTGACCAGTTGATTACCAGTTACCGAAGCAAAAAGATAAATTAATGAATTATCTAAAGCACCTTCAGCCATGATGCAACAATGACCGTCCGATGTTTGAATTGTATGACATAATCGACATAATAATTCGATATAACACTATAACAAAGAACACAACTTTCAATTCGATTGACGTTATTTATAAGACGAAGTGTCAAATCGATCGACTATTGACAGGAGTACGAGTTCGACTCAGAGATCACGCCAGTCTGTGAGTTAGTACGAAAACATTCTCAAGTAAAGTTTGTACAGTTTCCTGGATGTATCAACAAACGATGTTGTTATATTCTTTGTATCAATTTTGTCATGATCACTCGTTTACTACACTACAAAACTAAGTATGATAAAATGAATATGCCAGTCGAACCACTGACAATTACGGCGCACTTAGGATAGAACCTACGGAAGTGTCCCATCCGATTTCGTTCGTTCATACGTCGATCGACAGAAAGTATCGAACTAGTAAAATGCCTCGGGCCCATGACTCTTGAAGACCCGGTTTTCTGGAAAATCAGTTTTCAGAAACTATAAAAAATAAGCAAAACCTTTCTTAATGAGACGTGATTGTAGTCCGCAAATTTCTGATTAAAATGAGACATCTCTCAGCTCTATACGACCTTTCTTTGCAAAGTTATAGAATTTACAAGAAAAGCCCTAAATGTTCAGAAATAACAGGCTTTTCTTGTGAATTCTATAAATTTGCAAGGAAAGGTCGTATAGAGCTGGGAGATGTCTTAATTTGATCAAAAATTTGTGGGCTACAATTGTGCCTCATTAGGAAAAGTTTTAATTATCTTTTAGAGTTTCTAAAAACTGGATCTTCAAGAGTCATAAGCCTGAATCTTTTTAGGTATTGTACTAGTTCGATACCTTCTATCAATCGACGTACGAACGAACAAAATCGGAGGTGGACACTTCCATAGGTTCTCTCGTTAGACCTGTACCAGTTACCAGTAGTAACTGGTCATTGATTAACTGTTTAACGGATTATACCAGTTAATCGGATCAATTAACTGATTTTAACTGATCGTACGATACTCATCTGGACTACTATCCATTTCAAAGATCGGTATCTGTGGATATTCCTCTGGATGAATAGAGATAGAGACGTACGGTTTTCGATTCCTGCAAGTAGACTGAAGACATCGGGTGTAAGAGAAAACTCATTGTTACAGACGCTGTTTTTAGGGAAAATTAAAAATTTCATAACTGAAGCCCAACTACTAGGTTGAGCAAAAAGTTCGCGGTCATTTGCAAAAAATTATAACTTAATTTGGATTTGTTTCCGAGACTCGATGCTTTTTTTAAAAGATACATGGCGAAATTCTCTACAAAATCATACCTAAACTATAATTTCAGAACTTCAATCAAGAAAACTAAGCCAATTAGATGAAAGTCGAAAAAAATGTAAACTTCCTAAACTCAAAA